AACAAATTACGAAAACCAGAAGTAAGAGAACAGATGATACAAGAAATTGATGAAGCAGTAACAAAGATACAACCCATAAAAGACAACACAAAAGTTAACATCAATGAGAATTGGACAGACATTAAAACAGCGTTAATGAAACCAAGCATAAGTCACCTCCATAAAAGTAAAGAATATAAAAAAGAATGGATGACAGATGAGATACTGAACTTAATGGATGAAAGAAGAAAACAGAAAAACAAAAAGAATCAGAAGTATAAAGAGATACAAAAAGAAATTCGTCTAAAAATACGCACAGCTAAAGAAAACTGGTACGGGGAAAAATGCGAAGAAATCCAACAACTACAAAATAAACACGACAGCTTTAATGCACATCTGAAGATCAAAGAGTTGACGAGGAGACAAAGTAACAGACACAACATATTAGTAGACGAGAGTGGAAACATTATTATGGACACAGAAGAAAAATTAAGAGTCTGGAAACAGTACATAAACACTTTAAAGATCAAAGACATGTGATACATAAACAGTGACACGTGACCAGAAATATCAAGAGATGAAGTGGAATACACGATTAAAGAAATGAGGTCGAGGAAGGCTACAGGCCCAGATGAACTACCAATAGACATAATTAAACTCATCAAAGGCAACAACTTAATAAAGATCGTGGAACTATTTAACAGCATTTACAAATCTGGTATCATACCTAATGAATGGCTAGTAACAACAATAATAGCCATACCCAAAAAGTCTAATGCGAGACAATGCTCGGAACATCGCACCATCAGTCTCATGTGTCATATATTAAAGGTCTTCTTAAAAATCATTCATCGGAGAATATATAAAAAATTGGAAGTTGACATCGGACCCTCTCAATTTGGCTTTAGAGACGGACTAGGAACTAGAGAGGCACTGTTTGCTTTTAATGTTCTAACACAACGATGTTTAGACGTAAATCAGGACATATTTGTGTGTTTCCTAGACTATAACAAAGCATTTGATACAGTAAAACATAGGCCACTGATGCAAATACTGGAAAATAAAAATATTGATACAAGGGACATGCGAGTGATAAGGAATCTATACTACAAACAAGAAGCTACAGTACGAATTAACAGCTCGATATCAGATAGAATACAGATCAAAAGAGGTGTTCGGCAGGGCTGTGTGTTGTCTCCAACCTTGTTCAATGTCTACGCGGAAGAAGTTATTAAAAAAGCTCTTATGAACGAAAAAGCCGGAGTAAAGATCAACGGTCACCCCATTTGCAATATCCGATATGCTGATGATACCGCGCTCATAGCAGAAAATATTGACGACCTACAGAGATTACTAAACAAAGTGGTAGAAGCAAGTGAAGAATTTGGTCTGTCACTGAATACAAAGAAGACCAAATTCATGATAATTACAAAGAAACGTATCAATAATATCAACTTACATGTAGGACAGAATCTCATTGAACGAGTACAAAATTACAATTACCTCGGAACAAATATTAACGAGTCAAACGAATACACCAGAGAAATAAGAATAAGAATAGAGAAAGCCCGCAGTGCCTTTAACAACATGAAACAAATGTTGTGTAGCCGAAACCTAAGCCTAAAGCTGAAAATACGAATGCTTAAATGTTATGTTTTCTCGGTCCTGTTATATGGGGTGGAGGCGTGGACACTAAATAAGCAATGTATGGTAGCTGGAGGCATTTGAGATGTGGGCGTACCGAAGAATGTTAAAAATCTCCTGGAAGGATAAGATAACTAACCAAGTTGTATTAGACAGGATGAACAAACAAAAGGAGGTCGTATTGAGTGTTAAAATGAGGAAACTACAATACCTGGGACATATTACACGTGGGAATAAATATCAACTGTTACAACTAATTATGCAAGGAAAGATTGAAGGTAGGCGCAGCATAGGTAGGAGAAGAATGTCATGGTTGAGAAACCTCAGGGAGTGGTTTGCTTGCACTTCCATACAATTGTTCCGAGCGGCAGCCTCCAGGGTCAAAATTGCCATGATGATAGCCAACCTTCGTAGCGGAGATGGCACGTGAAGAAGAAGAAGAAGAAGAAGTTAGAGAATGAAAAGCCATAAGCAGAAACAGAAAATAATGAAGAAATGGAGACATATTGTAGAAGACTCCAAGTCACGCAACAAATTTTAAAACCAAACGTTAATGTGGATTAATTCTCCGCGACAAATAAATCGGAAGAGTCCAAAGAGGTCGGCAATCACTCCTCTAGGAATGTAGATGCCATGATGATGATGTCGATACATAATAATGTACGGGATTGAAACATTGTTCCTTAACTAGTGTGAATCTCGTGTGACAAACGAGGAAGTGATAAGTAGACCTGGATCGAAACGTTAACTGTTATAAACGATAAAACAACGAAAAGTTTCATATTTGGTACACAATAACAGGTGATAAACCTTATGAAGATTTATTTTGCTACATAGGATAGAAGGAAGAAGTGACCCACGCAGAAAGCAATATTTGTAGCTGTGTGGTATGAGTTTGGTCCAAAATTCGAAATGACAGTGAAATTCTTACACTTGCTAGAAAAGGATAATTACGAAAAAGTGGCAAATGAACGTCTACACGCAGGAAGCATATGATACTTGAAGTAAAAGTAAAAGAAGTAAAAGGTTTCTTTTGTTGTTTACCCAATTTCAAGATATCGCAGAATAAGAAACAGACTTTTATTTGTTTGTGTTTACTCTTCTTGTCATTCTCCATAATAATTATAATTAAAATGTAATAATTATTTCTCCAATTGAGTTTAAAGTCATCCAATGAATATCAATTATTACTACCAGTCGCAATATTGGACCTAACCTAAAAACAGATGCAATAAGTGGCATACTTTCACTTGATCTGGTACATATTTAAATATATCTTGAAAGCTGAATCAGCATCGCCAACATTTTTGATTCTTTCGTCACATGTTAACCCAAATAGATCCTATTATATATTTTTTGTTAGTCTCGTATTATATTAACAGATGTTATACTCATATCTTGACGATCAGCGAGCAGAATAATTAAGTACCTACTAATACGAGGTATACAATATAAGTTCTTTGTAAAAAGGAAACAGTTATTAAAAAAGTTGCCTTTTAAAGTACTTTTCGATTGATTTCTCATATTTCGAGCAATTCTAATTTTGTATTTATTTTTTATGCAAAATTTTAAAATTTTAATTAAATTTACGAAATTCTCTAATCAAAATCGTTGGTGTATGTTAAATTGGTTGAAACGAACTCTGTGTTCCGTGATCTGTTTTTTAACATGTATCCCTTTTTGACCTATGTATGCTTTTGGGTGTGTGTCACAAGTGATTTTATATACTTTTTTTGGTTTCTATCTTGTCCATCTTTATTATTTTTATAATATTTACTCAAAGAATTGTGTGTTCTTGGAATTGCGTTAACTAATTCGCTTGTTGGTATAATTTTTTTATTAAATAAGTCGCTTACTAAGTTTAATTCACATCCATTGTTTATTGTCGTTGGCTTGATGCGTCTCAGTTTATTATTATAATTATTATTTTGTACATAACATAGGAATATTTATCAGTCTATGTGGGTCCAACCAACTCGTCCGCCCGAAGCCGTTGGCCAGTAGGTGGAGAATTGCTTATACTGGCAATCGCTCGGTGGTTTTTCGCCATATCTGGCTAACCTCACTTAGTTTAGCCTGCAGACCAATGCAGTTGTCCAGGGTGTGGCACGTGGAGCCATAAGTGAGAGTCAGGTTTCTTATGAGGACCAGTTATCAAGAGCCATCTCCCGCCTATGACGCTCGATGTGCTCGTTCCGATAAAAGGTACTACCTCTATAACACACACCTAACATCCCTGCAAAATGTTGGAGTGTGTTTAATTCTTAGAACAATTTTAACATTTGGTTTCAATACACATTTCAGTCCTCTACAAATATTATCTGATGAGTTGTGTTGTAAAATAATTAGGGAAACAGGAATTTAACAGTTTAGAACTTTCCATTGAGTTTCTTTTTCACTATGGCGTATTTGACGATAATATCGAATAACGATATTATTGACGATAATTAACCCCCTGGTATACGACGATAATATCGAACAACTATTAAAATTAGCAAAAAGTGAAAACGATTTTAAAGTCTTGTAAATTTTGATTATCTTCTGTTAAAAATTTCCCATATAACCCTGGTAGTTCAACAACAAATTAAATACTTATAATAGATTAAACGACAGTCGTGTAGAAAAACAACATTCCTAAGAGTATTGTATAAATTTAATAATTTTATTATTGTCGTTATACATTAATTTGTATTGGAAAATGTTGCCATAAAATAAAAGATTTCACAAATGCTTGACTAAACAAAAATTATCGAGTTTCTTTCTGTTTTCTATGGAAATCAAATAAGCAAAAAAAAGAGTATAAAAAGCAAAATGTATGTGGTAATTATTGCAATTAAAATGATTCCTTGAAATTTATGTAAGTCTTACTAGGATTTCTAGATAATATATTCTTGTTGTTCTATATTATGTAAGTAGAGATTTTTATTGAATTAAGTCTGAAAATGTACACAAAAAATTGTAGATAAAACATTTGAGGAATTTGTTCGAACTAAAATGTATAACGTTTTTTAAAATACCCAAATAAAGTAGAAACTATTTTAAGAATTATTTCACAATAATGTAAGCATCTTTTTCTAAAAAAAATGTTCGTAATATTAAGCTTATATTTTGCCAGACATTATTTGACATATTAATTATTATTAAAATTAATTGACAAAAAGATAAGGAGGCCTAATTAAAGTTTATTTTTCAACCTTCAACCAAAAAATGTACCTTTTAACCTCAATACAGTATTTAATAATTATTATAATAAATACCACAAACATTTTTGTAATAAATAAGTTTTATCATTCAAAAACTATCCTTTTACTACCTACCCTTTCGACCTTCTACCCTACCTACAATTCCTCACTACCTTACGAAACTGACAAAGACAGTACCCATAGGCCCAGGCGGCCAAGCCGTTCCTACACAAGTCCAGCTCCTGGGAAATGGACAGTTTAGAGCTGAATTTGTACCACGGGTGGTAGGAGAACACCGAGTAAACGTCACCGTTAGTGGAGTACCAACTGTTGGCAGTCCATATGCTGCTAAAGTTTACGACGTCCAGGCTATCAAGATCAAAGAAGCTGCTAGCGGAATTGTGGGAAAACCTGTGACATTCCTCGGTAAGATGAAACATCAATAAATATTAAAAGACTATGTTACTATTGATTTATTTTATTTTCTTTAGTGGAAACAAGTCAAGCAGGCCCCGGAAATTTAGAAGTAACCGTCAACGGAGGTCTGGTTCCTACATCAGCTCAAGCTCAAGGCCCACACACTTACGCTATTTCCTTTACTCCTAGAGAAGCTACAGTTCACTCGGTGGATCTTCGTTTTAATGGGCAGGATGTTCCGGGAAGTCCTTTTAAATGTGCCGTATCTCCCGCTGCAAGAATTTTATCTTTGGATACTCTGGATAAAGTTTCTGTTGGGAAACCGTGTACCTTTGTTGTGGAAAGCCCGAATCCACCGACTGTTGAGATTTTGGGACCTGCGAGAAGGGCTCTAGTAACGAAAGTAAGTAATAGTGATTATCTATTAATTCTTTAGTGATTCTTTTTTATTAATTAGTTCGGATTATCGCTATGTTTTGTCTTTGGGCTTCTAGATTTATTAGAAACAGAATATACTGTTATTCAATGTTTTTTCAGTACGAAATCCTCTTTGTTTCTCTTCTTTATAACCATTAATTTCCTCTTCTATAAAATCTCTCAGTACTGGTTCAAACAATCTGCTGACTGCACTTGTTCGAAAAATTCTTTGTAATTTTCACATCGTTTTCACTGTAGAGGCAGTTTTTCATTTTTCTGTGATAATATGTCCGTTAATACACAAATTAAATATGTAGGCTATCCTACTGAAAAATGTTTCGGTACTATTTTGTAAGAAGTTCAGCATATATACGATCAGATCTACAAGCTTTTCCATTGTTTCAGGTCTTTAATGACTTTTTGATCATATCCTTGGAACTTTCATAGATTTAATAATAAAAAAAATTGATTATTGGTTAAACGTTTCGGCTATTTGTCATTTTTAATTAGCACTTTAATTATTTTAACATTACACAATCCACAATTCTATTTTATATCTGCATATTTTTAAAGTTAAACATTTAATGAAAAACTGATCTCTGACCCTAAATACATCTGGCAGGTATTGGATATATGTATAAAGATCTTTGATCAATTTTTTTTTAATATTTACTTTTAGGGTTAATTAGATGAAAATGTTAATAATTCAATCCAAAAAACAAGTTTTTCCGTTTCATGTTTTTTTTTAATTATATGGTGTAACCATATGGTAAAGCTGGGCGCTTAAAGGATTTTTAGGATCATTGAAATCAAAATTTTTAATTTTTTTAAAATATTTATTTGAGAATATTTTCATCATCTGGTGTGGTATCCTATAAAACAATTAACACACAAACAAACGTTGCATTTTTGGCATATTGTTCGTCCAGATGTTGTACATCCATCACCAGCACATCGCCTTCTACTGTGTGGTGTAACGAGATCGATGCGATCAAAACAAAGATCTGGCAAGTTCTGTCTATATAGATTAGGTCTTCCTATATATAAGGAGGACTTCCATATTTTGTGAGAAAAACTTGGGCCAGTTCTCTCCTAAACGATAGCGAGGATATATCTTTTTTATTTTTTTTTACATAAATGCCATGAATTATGAACTGCAACATCCAACAATGATGGTACAATTGACCAGTATCATTTTTACTACGAATTGCTACTGGATAGGTTCAAACATCTTGATCCATTAAGTCGGTACTCCTCCCCCCACATATTTTTTATTGTATTCAGCAATAAAGTTAGGCCGACTTACTTGAATGTGGCGTTTTTTTCATAAGAAAATCTTTTTACTGTGCCTAATGCTGAACCACCATAACTCGTAGACGTAACAAAAGAGTTATCTTTCCACCGCACCAAAAACACACCGCTTTTTTTTCTATTGCATGTTGTGAATAGCCACGATATCTTTTAGAAAACTCCTTCTTTTTTTCCAAGGGACAGCTAGGTGGAATTATGTTTTCCCTTATTTTCCAATTGTGCCGTACCCCAAAAATCGTAGGTAACTAAATAAATAAAGTCCTGAGAATAGGTTGTCAAGGTGTAAGTTGTATTGTAAATCTGACTGATTTATCTCTTCAGTCATTCACATCATATGACAGATTTTTTGTTGGAACAAAATTTTCAAGACATTATGTTTTTATTCTGTCAATCAATGGCCGAATTTTCCATGCTTTGCACTAACATTAGGCTTTGTATTATCTGCGAAATGCAAAAACCTTTGAATTTTCAGAAATCTATTTCGTCTCAATGAATTAGAAACTAAAGTGTTCTTTACATCATCATGGGTATCCCAATACATTCTCTTTGATGGTAATGGATTGTATTCCGATAGCAGAAGAATACTTATAAAACAACGTATTTCTCCAGATGTAATGCATGAACAGCTTCTTTAAAAAGAGAAAACACAGAAGATGGACATGGGAAAGTCCTGATGGAAAAACAAGGAACGAAATCGACTATTTCTTAACAAACAAAAAAAAATATTTAAAGACGTAAATGTGCTAAACCAGTTCAGTACAAGCAATGATCATAGGTTAGTAAGAGCTAAAATAACGATATTAACAGAAAAAGAAAGACTCAAAATGATAAATAAGAAACAACCAAAGAAATGGACAAAACCAACTAACATTCAGGAGTTCGAAAAATATATTGGGAATTCATTGAAAGATACAACAACAGCTGACATCAATATACTGAACAAACAAATGGTCAACACAATGCAACAGGCTCAAACTAAATATTGTCTGACAAGCAAAAAAGATGAAAAACTGAGTCAACCCACGAAAACCCTTATAGAACTAAGGCGACAAATGAATGGAGATAACACTGCAAGCAAAGAAGCGATAAATCAAATAAATAAGACGATCACAAAGGCAATAAGAAAAGGCATAAGAAATTACAATGTAGAAAAAACAAAACAGGCAATAGAGAAAAATAAGAACATGAAAGTTTTGAAGAGGAGTGTACAAAAGGGGAAAATAGAAATTAACAAACTGAGAAACAGAACTGGAGAAGAAACAACGAACAGAGATGAAATATTAAGAATAGTCGAAGAGTTCTACACAGAGTTATATAGATCAAGAAAAAAAGATAACAATACGGAACCTCCTGGTTCCATATTACACTAAAAACTGGGGTATTAAACCAAGGATCAGATTTAATGTCCAATATAACAAAATCAGAAATCAAAGAAGCCCTGAAGAAAATGAAAAATAATCGAACCCCGGGTGAAGATGGAATAGTATCAGAAGCACTAAAAATTAAACAACCTTTCAATATCTGCCTTCACAGCGCCAATATTCCAACAGACTCTAACAACGCTACTATGATTCTATTACACAAAGCAGGAGACAAAGCAAATTTAGAGAATTACAGACCGATTAGCCTCCTCAGCCATATATATAAGTTGTTTACGCGAATACTAGTTAAGAGAATGGAAAGAAAATTAGAGACTTATCAACCAAGGGAACAGGCAGGATTCCGAAAAAGTTACGGAACAAATGACCATCTACAAAGTATAAAAACCCTAATAGAGAAAGCAGTGGAATACAATAAACCTCTAGTTCTAATATTTATCGATTTTCACAAAGCCTTTGACACAGTTGAGCTAAGCAAAATATTACAGGCGCTTAAAGAATGCAGGCTAGATTATAGATATACTAAATTATTATACAAAATATACCTGCAGGCAACAACCACTGTCAAATTACATACTAACAGTAATCGCATAAAAATAGAACGGGGGGTTAGACAAGGAGACCCAATGTCACCTAAACTTTTTAATACGGTGCTAGAACATGCTTTTAAGAATTTGGATTGGATGACAAAGGGAATAAAAATAGATGGAGAATATCTAAACAACTTACGTTTCGCCGATGATATACTTATAATAGCTGAAGATCTAGGTATGGCAAGAGAGATGGTACAGGAACTCGTTGTGGCTACAGAAAATGTAGGTTTAAATATAAATATCTCGAAAACAAAAATCATGACCAATTTGGTGCCCAACCAGAACATCAGTATTGGTGGGAAAGAAATAGAACTCGTAGATAGATATAAATACCTGGGACATGAAATTATGATTGGCAGAGATAACCAGACTCATGAACTGAAGAGAAGAGTCGGCCTTGGGTGGGCAGCATTTGGAAAACTGAGAGAAACTTTTAAAAGTGAGCTGCCCACATGCCTAAAGAGAAAGGTATTTGATCAGTGCGTCCTCCCAGTCTTGACGTACGGAGCAGAAACACTTACCTTAACAAAAGCAGCAGCTACCAAACTGAGAGTCACGCAGAGAAGAATGGAGCGGTCCATGTTAGGAATAACTCTCCGAGACAGAATAACAAACGAAGACATCAGGAGAAGAACCGGAGTGACTGACATCATCGAGAAGATAGCCAGACTAAAATGGAGATGGGCAGGACACATAGCCAGAATGACAGATGGGCGATGGACAAAGAGGTTATTGGAATGGAGGCCAAGGGAAGACAAGAGAAGCGTCGGTCGACCACCTACAAGATGGACTGACGATTTAAGAAGACTCAATAAAAACTGGATAAGAGCGGCGCAAGATAGACGGGGTTGGAAACATGAGGAAGAGGCCTATGTTCAGCAGTGGACTCTTGAGGCTGGATGATGAATGCATCAGTTTGGTTTACAAATTGTGCATATCGTTGGGTTTCTTCCGCTAAGTAGTTTACTGTCTCATCATCAAAAAATATACTGAAGATATCAAGACATGATACATTTTCATACCTCTTCTTCTGGAAACAAAAAACTTGCAGACTGTAAGTTTCCTTGCATCCAAGCACATTTTTTCATTATTACATATTTTCTTTCATTTTGCCATAGTTGAAATGATGCTCTCCATTACTGTTTGTATCTGTAATAAAAATAAATTTTAAACCTAAGCTAATTAAAAAATTACTTGTTATACTTACCTCTTTCTGCACTTCTTCATTGTCAGTATCGATCCTTTCATTGCTAAAAAGTTGTATTTCTGCTTGCGCTCGTAGCTGCCTACCTGTAAAAATAAACAAATATAATATGTAGGTATATCCTTATTTGTACAACTAAGCACCTGTTAGGTTATTTACGAATCCACCTTCATGTTCATTTGCAGAATCCTCGTCTGCATCAGCAGCATTTACATCTGGCGGTGTTATAAAAATATTATCGACTTGCTCGGCTAATTTCTCGTCACCGTAAACCATATCTAGCGCTTCTGCTTACAAAAATCCACGACTGAAAAAAAAATAAGGATAATGACTCCGTAAGTACCCAGTGCAACCATATGGTAACGGCGTACTTTGACTATTCCTACCAAATTCGCTACATTTAATTGTTGATAAAATACAACAATTTATAATATTGACAGCATTTTGATATTTTTTTATACGATTTATCTTCAATAGTCATTTTTTGTTGTAACATATGTGTATTGTTACATATGTATTCACTTACTCATTTATATATTTTTTTCGTCAGGTACGTCCCCAAGAAAACACAGTTGGAAAATTCGAAGTTACTTTCACTCCCATAGACGTAGGCGACCACAGTGTTGAGGTACGTCTTCAAAGTGGACACATAGATGGCAGCCCGTTCCTTATCAAAGCATACGATGCCAATCGTGTAACAGTTACTGACATCACAGACGGAATAGTAGGAAAACCAGTGTCCTTTAGTATCAACGCTTCCCAAGCAGGCGCTGGTAATTTGGAAATTATCGTAGCTGTAGGGGGACGAAACGTCCCGAATTTTGTTCAAAGTGAAGGAAACGCTAGGTTTAAGGTCAATTTTAAACCAACCGAGGCCGCTACTCATACACTCAGTGTAAGGTATGTATGTATAAAATGAAGATTCTATTCAATTTCCAGGTTTCGCATTAGTTTTATTAAAATCCGGAATATTATAGCACATGTTCATGATCATTAACATGAAATTTCTATAGATAAAAAGAAAATTACATGAATAAATAACGTATATTTATATATATTCTACTCAATACTATAAAATAAAAAATAGGTAAGATAATATGTCTTTTAAATAATATAGCAGTACTACAAAGAGTAATATGGAAACACTATATTAAAAAAATGATTACCACTGTTAGAAAGCTAAAAAGAAAGACCGTACTACTTACTTATCCAATTTGAGAAATGTACTCAAAAAACCAATAATCCCCACCCGACACTAATAGACGCAGACGGTAACCTTATATCAGACGACTTGAAGCTCATTGACACATGGAAAGATTACGTAGAACGACTTTTAAACGATAAAAGCAGAGCAACAGTGGACCAAGATGACGACATGACTGGACCCGAAATACTAAGGTCTGAAGTGGAAAAAGCCATTTCATCGCTAAAAAACGACAAAACACCAGGTCCCGACAACATACAGGGCGAGATCATAAAACTCCTATGCGAAACGGATGACCACTTCCTCGATTTTCTGACAGGCCTTTTTAACACCTTTTAAGACAAAGGGGAGATTCCGGAGGAATGGCTTCGATCGACCTTTGTAGCCATACCTAAAACACCAAGTGCAATACACTGTGATCAATACCGCTTAATAAGCTTGATAAATCACATTACCAAAGTTTTCACCAAAATCATACACAATAGAATATATAACAAATGCGAAGCAAATATATCGGAGTCACAGTTCGGATTCCGAAGCGCATTGGGCACAAGAGAGGGGATCTTCAGTCTGCAAGTTTTAATTTAAAGATGCAGAGACATGCACAAGGACGTCCACTTGTACTTCATCGACTTCTCCAAGGCGTTTGACAAGGTCAAACATGATAAACTTATGGAAATGCTCAGGAAGATGCATATTGATGGCAAGGATCTGCGCATAATAACCAGTTTCTATTGGAACCAAAGTGCTGAGATAAAGATGGGCAACTTACACAGTGGGAAGATAGATATTAAAAAGGGTGTACGACAGGGATGCGTCCTCTCGCCGCTCCTGTTCAATATATACTCTGAACAAATCTTTAGAGAAGCACTGGGAGAAATTTCGGAGGGTATCAAAGTAAACGGAGAGGTAATCAATAATATTAGATATGCTGACGACACAGTTATTATCGCAAATTACTGCAACGAGCTTCAAAGACTCATGCAAAGCATACACACAGCAAGTCAAGAATATGGTTTAGAACTCAATACAACCAAAACTAAATGCATGCTCATCAGCAGAACACAACAACCTCCGATGCAATTGACATTAAACAACCGAAAAATAGAACAAGTGGAGACATACACATACCTTGGAACCACAGTCAACACAAAATGGGACCAGTCAACAGAAATAAGATCACGAATTGAAAAAGCGCGAAACGCGTTCAACAATATGAAAAAGTGGTTCACAAGCAAAATCTCAATGGAACTAAAATTAAGACTGGTCAAGTGTTATGTCTTCCCGATCTTGTTCTATGGAGCAGAGGCATGGACCACAACGGAAGTCACCCTGAAGAAACTAGAATCCTTTGAGCTGTGGATATATCGCCGTATTCTTCGGATATCCTGGACAGACCACATCACTAACGGGGAAGTAATGCAGAGAATAGGCAAAAGCAAAGAAATAATCTTCACCGTAAAGAAACGGAAGCTTGAGTACTTCGGACATGTCATGGGGCATACTAAGTACCGGCTGCTACAGTTAATAGTCGAAGGAAGAATAGACAGTAGGAGGGGACCGGGAAGAAGACGACACTCATGGATGCATAACCTGCGACAATGGTTCGGACTAACATCGACCGAACTGTTCAGAGGTGCCGTAAATAAAGTCAAAATAGCCTTGTTAATAGCCAACGTCCGAAACGGATAGGGCAAAGGAAGAAAAAGAACGAAGAACTCAAAAAACAAACAGCGGTCGTACGAGTAGAAGGTAGTGAGACAAACCAAGTAGAAATTCAAAGAGGAGTCAGACAGGGATGTGCTGTCACCTAAATTATGTAATGTGTACTTCCAACTAATATTTTAGCAGACACTATGGGAAGGCACTGAAGGTGTAGGGATTAGAGGGAACATTATTAGTAACATATTATCTTTCTTTACAGTAGAAGATTCTTGATTGTATCTGCTTAGTTCTATTGATTTGTCATTTGTGTGTTTTAGATTTAATGGACAACCTGTTCCTGGTTCCCCATTTAATTGTAAAGTTAGTCCTGGCAATACACAGCCCAGAGTTCCTGTATCAGGAAGTGGCATCGAACTAGCTGCAGTTGGTCATCCAGCTGAAATAAAAATTGAAGGAGTAACAGGTGAGAATACTAACATACTACTTTAATAATATATATTACCAATATCCAACATCAGCATTTGTATCTTTTAAGTGTACAGGACCTTCTTCTTCTTAGAGTGCCGTCTCCCTACAGAGGTTGGCAATCATAATGCCTATTTTTATTTTAGAACTTGCTGCTCTAAACAAATCAATTGATCTGTATTGATACCAATCACGTAGATTCTTTAACCATGAGTTCTGTCTTCGGATAACAGATCTTCTTCCTTGAATGTTTCCCTGTATTATGAGTCTCAAAGTTTCATATTTTGGACCCCTCATCACGTGGCCTAGGTATTCCAGTTTTCTGGTTTGTAATCAGACAATCTAGTTGTCTGGTTTCTTTAACGTCTTTCTCTCTAACGTCTCCTCCCATCGTCTTAATTTCTCTGGTAAATCTATTAGTAGTACTCCTTTTTTGTCTTTTATGTGTCCTTGCTGTCTATTTCGACCCGTTCCAGTCACTTCTCTTATTTTTTTGTGCATACAGTACAGGGCCCAATTCATCTAAATGCATCCTTCAGTAAATATGATGATTTTAAACATTTGGAGGCACCTTTAATGTACACCATAAAAAAGTCCCATGGTCTAGATAAAAATGAGAAGTTTAAACACATCTCCTTGGCTGCGCAGGTTAGATCAGTAAAGGAGGCTGGTTTTAATTTTAGTATTTGGTATACCCTAATTCAGTAGCGCACCTAGAATTTTCCTCTGAGGGTGGTTTGGTTGATCACCGAAATTTTTTTATGATGCTACATCCATTTTGAGTCCTTAAAATTTGTGAGTAACAGTGTCGGAATAGGGTCCTCGGGTCCCCAAACCCCCCAAGGGGGCGCCACTGCCATAATTGCCTCCTATCCCCTAAAATATGCCACCAAATATTTTGTATGTTTGGTTTATTGCAGCTATAAATTTTGCTTCTTTGGATGAATTCTCCTTTGGTGTATTACTTCTAAGCAAATTGTCGTAGGGTTTGATTTATTGATATCCCAGCCTACATATAATGTCAAACTTAGAAGCAACTATAAAAATAGGAAATGAAACGAAAATAATATTGACTATCAAAAGAAGAAAACTTGAGTACTTAGGACATGTGATAAGTGGTCAAAAATACCCATTATTGCAACTTATTATGCAAGGTAAAATTCGTGGAAAGCGAAATATGGGAAGACGAAAAATATTATGGCCTTAAAAACTGAAGGGAATGGTTTGAATACAGTAGTTGAGAACTATTTAGAGCGACAGTCAACAGGGTCCGCATAGTCACGATGATTCTCAATCTTCGATAACTGATGGAACTTGAAGAAGACGAGATTGCGTAGATTTCTTTCCATCTTCCAACTTCTAGTGCATCTATTCAATCCTTCTTCGGACTCAGCCTATTCAATCCTTCTTCAGACTCAGCCTATTCAATCCTTTTTCGGACTCCTTGTCGATTCAGAGTTTCCCGTGTGGTCCTCCAGTGGTAGCCAACTGATAGTCCAGGATTGGGCTATGCAAGTATAACAAGTGCTCCTCTATGTTCTCTTGCCACGACGGGATAATGTTATTTTTGGTTTCTGAAGAATACATGTTTGAATTTAGGGAGTCTCGTTAAAGGATTTGCATTCCGTTTTTTTAGAAAGTTCTTTGTCAAAATATTTTCTCATCATTTATTAATCCAACTTACCCATCTATGAGACAACATCTTTCATACAGAGGAGACCTTGAAGCTTTCTCCTTCATCGATTCATTCTATTAATGGACCTTATTTGATTCACAAATACCAACTTGTTCTGATACTTCTTGAGATTACTACCTTGGTTCTCATTGAATCAGTTTTGTAACTTCTACTAACAATATCTTTTGTCGAAGTACTGACAGATTTCTTATTTTTATGCAATTTGCTCATCGAAAGTACTGCTAGTAAACGCAATCTTCCTAGCAACTTGTGTATTCTCTATAGAAGTAGTATAGTATACTAAGATACATATGAAGTTTGATATTTGTGTTTTGTATGAGATTTTTTTTTTAAATTGGTTTCCATCCCGAATTTGTCAGTAATGGAATATCTGTCCTTTATTTCTAATAATTTGGTCCATTCTGGTCGCACGCGTACGAAGAAATACTAGACTAATATGAAAAGAGGTAACCACCTAACCTTTTGTGAGTTAAACAACAAAGAATAACGACAAAAAGTTAGGATTAGACTTTCGAGATGCGAGACATCATTTAAAACAAAATGACTTCCACTTACAAAACAAAATACTACATCTTTACAGTTCTGTCTATGAAATGAACGCATAGTCATTTACTGTCATAAATATGAATCAGCTTGAGGTTTTCGAGATATGATGTTGTAGGAGTAGGTATCTTATAGGAAGTCCTGCTGAAGGAAATGTAAATGGGAAAAGAGGACCTGGAAGAGGATGTATTTCCTGACTGAAAAATCAAAGAAAAAGGTATAACACAACTACCCCTTAGCTGTTGTACCCTCAGCACGAATACTCACCATAAGAAGACAATTATTTTTATATACATGCGACTGCAATACAATACATTTTTAGATATTTACGGTACAATAAGAGTGTTGTTATTGTCTTGCTTCATGGTAAAAGTCCAACAAGCTCACTACCAGACACATTTAGGTATTTACGTTACAATATTTTGTTGCTATTCTCTTAGTTTATTAAAACTGTTTGCAAAGCTCACATTTTATCAATATGAAGAGATTGAAAAGCACAATAGATTGACATTACTGAGGGAAAAACCTGCTATATCAGATATCAAATTATATATTGCATATAAGCAAATAATATTTTTTTTACTTTAAATCTCTTTTGACATATTTTTTAGGTGGAGAACCTCAGGTTCTAGCTACAGCGCCCAATGGCAAAACTATTCCAACAAAATTAATAGTTAATGGAGATACTTATATAGCCAGGTTCATACCAGAATCAGTCGGACGCCATTCCATTGCAATCCTTATCAATGATCAGCATGTTATAGGATCACCATTCAGCTGCAATGTTTACGACGTCAATAAAGTTATTGTTACGGGATTGCCCGAACGGAAGGGTGATTTAAATAGATCTATTAACGAATTGAGCCTTAAAGATGCACCAAGTAAGTACTGAAGTTAAATGTTTATAGGATCCTTATGGGGGGATTTTTGCAAACTAAAATATGGTTCAATAAATCAAATTTTTAGAACCTGCCGAAGTGGGTAAACCAGTAACCTTCAGTGTGGATGCAGCTCAAGCTGGAGAAGGCACGTTAGAGTTGGTAGTATCGACACAGCATACCACCATCAAAGCTGAAGTGGTAGCTTGCGCAAGAGGCCTTTATGACGTCACTTTTGTTCCCCTTACAGCTGAAGATCATTATGTGAACATAACATTTAACGATATGACAGTGGTTGGCAGTCCGTTCCACTGCGGCGTTATTGAATCCACGCAGTATTTCCAAATTGGTGCTACAGCTTATATTGATCTGCCTAGTGATAACCATAAGATTGAGATTAGTGATCCCAATAATCATCACGTTAAATATGTTGTTAATAATTACAAAGGAGAGTTTAATTTAACACAGACTGGTAAGAATGTATTTTATTAATAAAAACAAATAACTTTGTGATATAATCGCACAATTTGAATTAGTCTCTGAATGCGTTAAGTAAATGAATTATAGTTTCATGTGAAGTGAAGTTTCAGAATTTTCATTGTTGACACATACAAGTATGTACATCAAGCGTGTTTGTATATGTGTGAAAGCTTTCCAGAAATTTCGGCAAATCCTCATGTCCTATATGGATTTGGTGATGTGTGATCGTGAACTTATTGATATTCTAACTTTAGCTGTATTTATGCTGTGTTTCTTAGGTCAGTGATCAATTGACCCTAGGATTTATTATTGAACAAATAATTCCTCAATTTTTCTTTAAGCTAAGCAAGTTACATCAATCGAGATGGTTTTAATCTCCTATTTTTTCTGTTACAACATATAATAATTTGTTTAACTTCATTTTTTTTTTCGTACCTTACGATGGAACTTATAAGTGAGTGTCCCTAGTAGCACCCAAGTCTACAATCTAAATTTTTTAGTACTTTTCATTTTTGACCTCTATTTCAGGGACATACCGCGTTAATATTTTAAGGGACAATGAAGTCGTAGCTACGAGAACCTTCCACGTGTTTGATACCACAAAGATAGATATTATAAATGCTCCAGAAGCGATATGTCATCGGCCATCTGCCATTGGAATTAATATGAACAGAGTTGGACCTGGAAAACTGACCGCAGCAGTTAAGGTAAAATGCAGGAAATTCTTGTTTATTTTATTGGTTTTCTTGATCCTCCTGTACGAATGTTCTTATTTAAAATCTTAAGAGTAAAATTTTTTTAAATTCCTTTAAAAAAGGTACATTAATATAAAAACCTTATCGGGCTACATCACAGAACATTTTCAGAATAAATATTCTATCATCAGTGCTATCCTAAAATAAGTATTACCACTCGAGATAAAGCAAACTCAAATTTGTGTCTTTATAGTAGATTGCACATTTGAAAAGCACCATTACATATATAGGATTACGGGAGTCTACGATCAGCCAATTCATTTTTGTGTTTGTTGTATCAAACTGATAAGAATCAAACAGTCTGAAAATTTAGTCTGAAGTATAATCTATACAAATATTACTACACAATTAAAGATTTTGTTTTATAGGTCGGCAACAGGGATGTCTCACACAGCGTCAGGCAAAGTCCTACCAATGCCAATATGTGGGAAGTCATATTCCATCCAGTACAAGCAGCTCCTCATCGAATAACTTTGTTCTACAATGGGGTTCCAAAGTTTGGAGTATTGGAGATTCCAGTTAAAGGACCCGGAAGTGAACCTTGGGCCGGAGGATTAGGTAACACAACGGCTACTTGCACTTTTTATTTAATTAATTCAATTTGAAGTTTTATTTATTTTTTTATTAACTAGATAAACTTATTTTTATGTTCACTACTCAAAAAATAATATTAATGTAAATAGTTGCTCTACGCTTGACAATATCTTGTTTTTTTTTAGGTTTATATCAGGCAAAAGTGGGCAAAGTAAACTCCTTCCAGATCGAAACCCAAGGCAGATCAGCCAGAGAGTTCGACGTAGTTGTAAGCGGGCCCACTGGCTCCGCAGTACCTGTGCGCTGCTACCAAACTAAAACCGGGAAATTACAAGCCGAATTCACTTCTAGAGAAATAGGAGCACACAAAGTGGAAGTTCTGCACCAGGGAAAACATCTCGTCGGGAGCCCCTTCGTTTGTCAGGCTTTTGATCCTGATAATGTCAAAATCACTGATGTGCCCACGTCTCAAGGAAATGTCGGAGATAAAGTTTATTTTAATAGTAAGGTTTATTATTTTTGTACTAAACTTTGCTTCTATTTTGTTTCGTTTTTGTTGGTTTAGTACCAGTCGTACTAGAAAATAACTATTGATTCATTGCAATATTTGGATAATTGGTGTATTGATGCGTTGGTATGAAATGGAAAAAGAAGGCTGGATAAGTAGCTAAATCCATTACGTGTCATACCGATCTTGGTAACACCCCCACGATCACACATCCAGTAGGAGATAATGTGGTAATTTGCATAGTCTATAACAAAATATCGTTTGAAAACAGTAGAGAGATAAACAATAGTTTGTTATAGAACTTAAAGGACCTCATCGACCTTTACATATAAAATAATCAGTATCCTGTAATGTTGCTGATTGCAATTCAACTGCAATACTCTAAATGTGCTGGCAAATGCACTCGTATTTAGGCTATAAATGAAGTAGATAAAAAAAAGTATCTTAAGGAAATAGTCCAAGAATATAGAGTCAATAGGAATGAAATCGAACAAATTAAAAATAGAATTTTAAGATTAAAGTAAGCGGTTAACGTTTTTTGTAAGATCCACAAGGAATCTACGTTCCTGTAGTTGGCTGTATACCATGTATTAAAAATTTAATTAAAAATCCTTTGTAATAGGTATATTTTAGGCCCAAACGGGCTAAGTTAAAAAGACAAAATGTTTTCGGAAACCATGTTCCATCATCAGTGTCTAGGAGTACAAACTCCTAGGAGGTATCTAGGAGGTACCTAGGAGGTCCCTAAGGAGTGTACTCCTAGACACTGATGATGGAACATGGTTTCCGAAAACGTTTTGTCTTTTTAACTTTGCCCGTTTGGGCCTAAAATATACCTATTACAAAGGATTTTTAATTAAATAAGTTTTTTGTAAGCTTTTGAAATTATATATTATCCTGAAAATTATATAGTATCTTCACACTTGTACTTTTACAAAATTTGTTACATATAAATCATTTATCTTATTTATCTTTAATGCTTAAAACTTTAGCCACCAAACTCATCTTTGGTATATCTTTCTTCTTTTTCTCTGTTTTTTCCCTTTCTTAAAGTAAAAACTTTTATAGACAGGCTTGAGAAAAATCTACTTCATTTGGAGGAAAACAATTTCAACTTAGCATTAGTCCAACATCGGTTAATAATGTAATGTAAGTTGCATACATTTGCAACTCAGTAATAATTTAATTTAAAAAATAATTCTTGATCTCGGTCATTTTTCATAATCTTTTTTCCTGTTTCGACGTTGTCATAAAATGTTAAGTTGTAATTATTAACCGACAGATCTTTCTTGAAATCTTATTTGTCCGTCCGTCCGATTGGAGGAAAAGTTTTGGAGTTCTGAAACTTAACATATAGGTACATAGATTCCTTTTGATGTAACGAAGAAATTTATTACATCGAGTCTTCTGTTTCTTATCATATTTTTAGGCCTTTTCTTTTTTTTGGAAAAAGCGCTAGAAACTTGAAACTTGGTAGGTACATAGATTCCCCATGGTGTGAGAATGGTAGAAGGATTTTGTGGAATATGGCAGTAGGTCTTGTTTTTATTTCGAAAGAAATAAAATCAAGAAACATGAACAAAATGTAGAAAACTATACAACAAAATAAAATAGGTAGTTCAAAATATGATGAATTCATAATAGAAATAAAACAAACAACTAATTATATATCTTTATAAAATTAAATAAGGAGTATTATTACTTATCTAACAATTGAGAATTTAATCAAGGAGCACTCGATAACTTCCACAAAAAAAAATAAAAAATGATCCCATAAATGTAAGATGGCGATTTGTGACAACATAAAATTTTGATACAGAAAAATTGCAATATGAAATTACACCAGTATAATCATTATTGAAATTAAATTGTTTTCGTAATCTACTAGAATTTTTAGGTCTATTTAATGCAGTTTATTCTTTTATTGACACTTCTCCAAGTACAACATTAACTTTTCTACATATTTTATCCTCACTCTGTTCTATTCTCACTTTTCATTAATCCAACCTCCTGCCTTTTTCCTCCCTTTTTCCCTCTCTGCGCTCTTCTTTGTTTATTAATTTTTGGTTTTTATTTTCTTCTCTTTTCCCGATTCCCCATTTTTTCCACATTCTCTCATTTCTTTATCTACCTTTTTTTATACCTATTTTTATCTCCCCTCTCCTACTTCTTTCTCGGTATTTTTAACAACTATTAAGTCATAAGCGTATACCATAAGTTAAGAAATAGTTTCCTGAAACTTTCATATTATTTGTTTTAAGTATCAATGAAATAATAATGAAATAATTTTATTAGGATTTACCAAATTTATATTTTATTAACCCAGATATTACTGAAACTTTTATTGTTAACATTTTGAATTAATTTCGAATTTTCATGGAAATTATAGCATATGGAACCAAAAAACACAATCATATATTTTTTTATGACGATACCTGTCAAGTTTTGACATGTTCTTTTAAAAGGACGGTAGTAATATACGGTACCAGATATCATATATATTTTATTAGTATCAATTTACAAAGAATGAAAGGATTTAAAACAAAATTTTGGATGTAAAGGTATTTTGCACTTTTCACACAAAAACTGGACTTTTTTGTGACAATATCCACATCGCGATTGCTTTTCTTGATAAAGAACCAAGTGGTTAATACCGTCATATCTTGAATTGGCTACCGAATTCGAATTCCGCTTAGAAGGTCCGCGTTTTGTTTATTTTTTAAAAGTTTCCAAAATATTAGTTGCAACAGATCTTCTAAATTCAAGCTGATCCAGTTTACCGTCTTGAGTTTTGTGAATCTGCCATGCATTTTGAATAGCCATATCAACGCAATGAGCAAAAACGGGAAAATACCATTTCTTTCCTCTTATGGACACTCGATATAAACTGATGTTGTGGTCACTGCGATCAACGCCACCCATGAAGTTATTGTATATTCTAACAATATTTGGTTGAGGAACTTGAATATGTTTTTTCTCTGCTTGTGAAAATCTCTTTACAGAGAAGCAAGGCATTACTGGTACAAAATTGGAAGCAATAGAAACGATATTATTATCATGCCAGCGGCAAACTACTATTCCTGTATTTTTATCAAGACTATACTCGTATTTACCACGTTCAGTTTTTTTCATAATAGATGAACAGGGTAAAGGGCATTTCATGGTGCGATTTTTCCTTACAGTGCCTGTACCAAATATGCCTCTTTGTTTTAGCTCATGCAGTAAATGAATAGAAGTAAAATAATTATCAAAAATAAGATGGAATCGCCTTTGAGGCCATACTTCATTCAATCTGTCTGCATAGGATAGAACTACTGATGCACCCAATCCAAGACTTTATATTGTTCAGGTATTGTAGTGGAATTACCTTGGTAAGGAGAAAACCAAACTATGTATCCCAGACGAAGGGCTCCTACCCACATTTTGTACCCCCAACGGATTGGTTTTCCCCTGATAAATTGTTTTGTGGGATGGCGACCAAAATACGGAACCATTGCCTCATCTATGCTGTGATGTTGTTCTAAAGGGGAAAATTGTATAAATTTTTTGTTTATTTGTCGAACAGGGGTCGCATCTTGGCAAATCTATCAAATTTATCTAATGACAAGTTGTGCGAACGATGAATCGTCACGATTTTCCCAGTACATGTACCTTTTCGGCACAACCACATAACCACTCAATACAAGAACGCCTATAAAACATCGAATCTCATTTTGAGTAATGTCGTTCAAAAGATTTCTTTGTCCTGCGTAGATGTTAGTGTATTCGGTAACCAAATTGATGACTTCATCATCAAAAAACAAATTGAAAATTTCCATCGGCGACTGAGTCATTTTTGGTCCAAATTGAGTTTTCCACTAAGTACAATCAGGGTGTTGATACAAGTCTCCTTGAATCTTGAATCCAGTGTGCAGATATTCTCTTCTCTAAATGATGGGGCAGCTTTTCCTTGGAAAGAAACAAAGCCAATGGTATATTGTCATCATCCGAATCTTCTTTTGGTAGGCTGGAATTCACAGAATCTTGTGGTAATTCAATCGCGTTGTCAAAAACAAGTTCTACATCGTTTCTGATCTAACTACCCGGTAAATTATTTATTGTAGTTAGTTCTTCATCGCCGGAGTCGCAATCGGTGACATCATCATTGGCATTTTCTGGGGGAAACATGATCAAACCATCTGGAGGGACTGGGATTTCATCAGAATCAAGCTCTTCTAATAGCTCATGCAATTTGAGAGGCCTCCTGAAACAATACGCACGTTGGTAGTACTAATTACTACCGTCCTTTTAAAAGAACAAAATGAAATCCCAAGCGGCGATCCTTTGAAACAACGTGACAACTATTCGAGCCAAGAATATACGTACATAAGTCCCTATTATACAATAATCCACATGCCAATGACGTGAAATAACAGTTTTTTAATTCTAGACTTACCTCCAATTATAAGCATCCATTTTGTAGTCCAAAACCTGGCAATTTACACAGATAACCTCACAATTACAGCATGTGCGCGCACTCAAATCGTTAAAACTTGTCGAATGCTGGCTCTTGAAAACACTCCATCTAGAGCCATCTATCAGTTGGTAGCTGCACTAACCTAAATTACGCATAATTTACACTGCCTTTTAAAAGGACGGTAGTAATATCTGGGTTAATAATCTTAATGCGTATGATTCTGAAACATATAGTTATGCATGTTTTACTTATTTTCTAGTATCAACGAAAAATTCTGGATCTGCAGAACTAGATGTTCAAGTTACTAATCCCATTCACCAGACATTAGCTGTGCAGAAAGTACAAACTGAGGAAAATACCACACAGGTAATTATGAAAAATATTTACAGTATTATGAATGTGGAATGATAAACAAATTGGACGTATGTTACTTACGTACGTTATGTATAGATGTAATAAGGGTCTAAATTTCCTCAAATCAATTACAAAAACATGGTGGGGTGCAGATGTGGAAACTTGCTTTTCTTCCGATCTTATATTAGATCAATTATCGATTATGGGTGCATATTATATGGTTCAGCAAGTAAACATATTCTGAAAACAATAGATGTTTTTCAAAACGCAGCAATGCGTATTTGTTTGGGTGCCATGAAATCGACGCCAATTAATGCTCTACATGTGGAAGCTCTAGAAAATCCCTTGGGCTATAAAAGAGAATACCTCAGTCAAAAGTTTGTTATTAATATACAAAATCGTAACACTACTCTCTACTCAAATATTAGAAAACTGAACGAAGAAGATTTAACTAATTTGAAACACTGATCGGTGTTTCAGCTTTAAATTGTGTTGTTCTTTATCAAATTTAACGATTTCAATAAACTCTGTATGGCCAAGTTTTTCGAAGGCTAGCATTGACTTTAAAGAGAATGAAGCCTAAATAGTTTCAGCTGACACGTTGTAACGCTGGATCACACTTTTATAATAAAGATACTTTTCGTGCTTTCTAAAATCAAATTATTTTGTCGCATTATTTTATTTTAATTCATAATGCGTCTTAATAGATTATTATGATTAGAAAAAATATTATTAAAGTTAGTCAGTTTCTTTCTCTTTCAGGAGAATTCGGGAGAATTATAAAATTACCCAGTTTTCTTTAAGTTGTTTGCATTTGTGTTTAATAGTCCTATTTAGTTCCGAATACTTTTGATGTTGGTTTCTGAAGTACCTGATTTGTATTAACTATTAAAGCTAAATAATAATTTCAATGATAACCTATATCTATAATTTCCAGGTCATGTTCTTGCCTACACTAGCGGGTTTATATCAAGTAGCAATTACATACGGTGGAATACCTGTAAAAGGTTCTCCTCTAGCCTTAGGTGTAGGCCCTGTAGGTCCTACACCACCTCCTCGAGCTGTTGGAAAAGGCTTGGAGTTTGGAAGAGTCGGGGAAAGGAGCAGCTTTACTGTCAGTAGTGTAGTACAACCCAGAGTCTCAGTGGAAGCTGTAGAAGGAAACATCGATGTGCAAGTTCAAAGCCATAAACCTGGAGAATATCAAGTATCCTACATACCGAAATGGGTCGGAACTTACGATGTTATTATTAGTATTGGACCAAATGATGTAAGTATATAATTAATATACGTATTAATGTAGACATAGTTGCTTGTAATGTTTTTTTTTAATAGTACTAATCAGTAATTACAACTTCATTCCTAATTTTGAATTGGTATTGCATTTTTATTATCTCAATTTTATATATCTGGGTCCTAAAGTTAATTACATTTTTCTTCACTTTTGACTTTACCCTTACAGCTAAGACTGCACTTTCATGAGAGTGTACAATTTGTACTATATTTGGAGAGATTGAGTAAACGATTAGACAGGATACCGTTTTTATTTTAATTTAAATGTTTTTTTTTTCTGCTATTTCAAGATACCTAATTTAAGAAATTTACGTCAAACCTTCACATCGTTTTACCGTCGAAATTTAAATCAAACAGGTAGATCATGAGTACGGACTGAAGATGAATTTAAAGAAAACTAAATGCATGATCATGACTAAATCTGCACATGCAAATATCCAATTGACTATTGAAGATACTGCAATTGAGAATGTTAATAACTATAAATATTTAGGAACATGGATAACATCAGATGTAGACCAAACCAAAGAAATTAAGACACGTATTGAAATAGCACGTACATCATTTATTAAACTTAAAAAGTTTCTTTGTTGTCGGGATATAAGGTTAGAACTACGCCTGAGAATGCTTCGATGTTACGTGTTCTCTACTCTTCTTTATGGTCTGGAAGCTTGGACACTAAAACAAGTTCATCTGAATAAGCTGGCCGCCTTTGAATTTTGGTGTTACAGAAGAATCCTACGAATATCATGGATTCAAAGAATGTCAAACATGGAAGTAACTAGAAAGATAGGAAATGAGGCGGAAATAATATTAACTATTAAAAGACGAAAACTTGAGTACTTGGGACATGTGATGAGAGGGCAAAAATACGCATTATTACAACTTATTATGCAGGGCAAAATCCGAGGAAAGCGAAATGTGGGAAGACGAAGAATATCCTGGCTTAAGAACTTAAGGGAATGGTTTGAATGCAGTAGTGCAGAACTTTTTAGAGCGGCAGTCAACAGAGTCCGCATAGCCATGATGATTTCCAACCTTCGATAGAAGATGGAACTTAAAGAAGAAGAAGGTAGATAAAAATGAAGAACAAACACCTGGACATAATCTGAAAGAACAAATACCTAAAACAAGGCACAAAAACAATAATATATGGCAGCAATTAGACCTATATTAACATAGACGGTGGAGACAAGAATTAAGACGAGACGACTACTAGAAACAACACAGATGAAAATACTTCTTGGCTTACACCATACGTGTCTTGTCTTAGGTGTTTGTTCTTCCAGATTGTATCAATAAGAGATTCTGCCGCATTACTTGCTTTTAAGATTTGTTGTCAAACTTCTTCTTCAACATCTCCGTAACTAGTTATATCTTTTCCCAGATATCTTAACCTTGCCTCCTGCTTTATTATTTTCAAATCAATTTTGATTTAACATAGTAGTGGGTATTTAGATGTTGTCATACATTTTGATTTTTCTGCTGATATTATCATGTTGTATTTCTTGATAGTTGTATTGAAGATATGTGTTAATCTTTGGAGCTCGTCTTCTGTCTCGGCGATTAATGCGGCGTCGTCTGCATAACAAAATATTTGGATTTATTTGTTCCCCATTCTGTAACCATTACCTTTACGTACTACCTAGTATTATTTCGCACTATTATTCTAAAATATTATTTAATAGCTTCCAGGCTCACCCTTTAGACCCAGTGTAGTTGACCCAGCTGCTGTACGTTTGATAGGAGGTTGGAACCAATACTTAGACGACAGCGGTCGAATAAAACTTCCAGCAAAATTAGCGTTTGATACATCCAACGCTGGTCCCGGCAATTTAGAATGCAAGATCTCCGGACGAAAAGTAAACCAGGAAAAATCTAACACCAGGATACGTTTCGAGCTTTCAGGAGAAGGGCTTAGTCCGGGAGAGCACGAATTTGATATAAGATTTGCTAATTACCCATTACCAGAAGCGCCAAGTAGTATTATTTGTCTTGGAGACCAAGTAGTACTGACAGGAAGAGGACTTGCGCATGCGCAGTGTGGGGAAGCTGCGGCTTTTACAATTGATGGGTCCAAAGCTAGTATAGGTAAGTGATTTAATTATAATTATAGTTTATCAACCTAATAATAATGTATTAGAAATATATTTATAACCCATTTCCTGTCAATTTTTAAAAAAACATTTCAAAACCATCTTTCTTTTTTATCCTCTGATATATAATATAGATGATAGAATTCTTCACATATGGTCGATATTTTCCCTTTGGCAGTAGTTACTCTTGCTTACTTGTGTTCAAATAAAAAATTCTATAAATGTGACTCTATATTACTCTTCATGTAACTTTAAAGAAAATAGTAATATTATTGACTGTTTCAGGAAATCCTGAAGTAACTTTACATGCTGCTGACAACAACATTCCAGTTCCTGTGATGATCAGTTTAGCGGGTGATAAAATTTGGAAGGCTGCATATACAGTTAGCATCCCTGGGAACTATTTGTTGTCTGTTCTGTGGGCTGGAAGACCCGTGAAGGGCTGTCCACTCGTTGTGGAAGCTAAAGGAGGAGCAGATGCTTCAAAGGTATAAGAGCTTATTGTTTTTCTCATTTCTATCACATAATCATATTATTATTTATATGACAATATAAAAAGCTCAAAGTATTTGCGAGATGTAATTATTAACATTGCGTAAAAATTATTTCTAGGTGCTATGTTCAGGAGAAGGTCTGCGCCAAGGAGTAGTAGGTCGTGAAATCCGCTCTTGGATAGACACAAGGAGAGCTGGTCCAGGAGAACTAACAGCTCACTGTGCAGGTCCCAGAAAAGTGGCATATTGTGAATTGTACGACCACGGAGATGCTACGTTTACCTTAAATGTCAAACCTCAGGAACCTGGAAGACATGCGCTGACCATCAAATACGCCGGCCAGCACGTACCAGGATCACCTTTCACGCTTCGGGTTGCAGGTGCTCCAGATGCTTCAAAGGTGAGAAAATGATAGACTGATTGAAGTGCGGTTATATAACATTTTAACTGCTAGATTCTTCTAGAACAGAAGGTTTCAAATACACCTCAATCTCAAAAGATATTGTTGCAGTCTGTAGCACATTATAATATGGACCTAACATATTTTTTATTGATAGTAGAGAAAACTCTGCTATTTTTTTTTGTAAATATATTTACTTTACAGCGGAATTTTTGTTAAATGCCTTTTTAAGTTTTTATCTCATAAATCAAACTCTTTTTGCATATATTATTTACATATACCCAAAGTAGGAGTCATTAATCTAGGTCGAAATTCTTTCTATAAATATTAAAAAAAATTCTTGCCACACACCTACAATTTTTATCGTTCTTTTTCTTACTAATAGGCTTTATTATATGGTTGTAAAATATTTTATTACTTTCGAATTTACAGAACTACAAAGCCATACAAAGATTGACAAAATCTCAACTCGTTTCAAATCTCTATAAAATGCAGGTTCTTTGCCTTTGGCAAACATACTCTCTATTCCTTAATCGGACAATTATTTATCTCGACGCTCTATTATACAATATCTCGTATTTAGTATGGCAGTTCGCATCTTCAGATCTCGCCTTAGTGCACCCTTGCTACGTATTAAACACTATCTCGCTCTTTTTACGTATTAAACGTACATACTCGACATAGCAAAGTGGTCATTTCAACTAAGTTTTTTTCAAACAAATTGTAAAATAAAGTTTTATAAAATTAACTGTGTTCGAATAAAATCAAAATACTTTAACTCACTGTCTATAATGCTTGTACCCTGCTTCGAAGAAGATTAATTAATTGGTGTCCTTTATAATTAATAACAGTTTTCGTTATATTTTTACTACAATATTTTAAACTCTGTTTTACATTTCTAGGTTCGAGTATATGGACCTGGCATAGAGCATGGAGTACTAGCCACTTTTCAATCAAGATTTATTTGTGATACGCGAGGTGCAGGAGCGGGTCAGCTAACAGTGAGGGTGAGGGGGCCCAAAGGAGCTTTTAGAGTTGAAATGCAGCGGGAAAGTCAAAAGGACCGTACTATTCTGTGCAAGGTAATAAAATAGTGTTATTTTAACCGGCAAAAATATTGAAATACATCCGCATCAACCATATTGTGTATGTATTCGATATTATTAATAACATGAATGTTTAATTTGGTATGCATAACTAATATACTTTGTGTTTCAGTACGACCCCACTGAACCTGGCGACTACAGGGTGGAGGTAAAATGGGCAGGAGAGCTAGTACCTGGATCACCTTTCCACGTCATGATCTTCGATACACAAGAAGAGCTTAGGCGGTATATTAATACTTTGTGAGACCAACGAATCTACTACTGATTTTATTGTATCAATGAATGTCGTATTTTGTTTAAATGACGACATTCTATTCAAAACGAAATATTGTGTCATTTGTACAATTTGGCGGGTCCAAAATATTATTTATTTATTTTTTTAAATCATGGAAATGTAGTGGTAAATACAATGTGCATAAAACAATACTATTTTTGTATATCAAATAATCTCTTGTCTATTACTGATTTTTTATTCAATCGTTTTGCAGCTTGAGCTCAATATTGATGCGTCTCTTAGGAAGATGGTAGTACTATGCTACTACCGAGACCTATTTTTGGTTTAATAAAATTCTCGACAACCTGCTTATTCTATTCAAATAATCTAATTATATTCAATTAATATGTTTTGTTCCTTAAAGATGTCAAAGCTAACGCAATATCGAGTTTTATCATATTTTACTGAATGAACAGATTTTACAGCATTTTTTTCTAATTGCTTACATCACATTGTGCCACAAAGACGCCATATTCCTAAAAAACAAACTGTATTGATACGCTGATGTTGGCCTCAAGAATTTATTCCTTAACAGATTTATGTTCTTCTAAATTTTTTTACATTGTATGTGCCAGATATGATATCATTTTCACTTTTGTTGTAATATTTTGGATACCTTCAAAGTTAGATCTGAATATGTCACCGAATAAATAAATTTTTTATTTGTGTTCATGTTTTCAACGGAAAAGAATCTGTGGAACTCGATGATTTGTAGCTTTAAGAGAAATGTACTAATGTTTAATGATTTTAAATTTATATATTTTTATAGATGATGCTATTTACTTCATTTTAATAAACTGTTACGAAAATAATGATGCTGTTTGTCTTTCATTTTGTAAACTAACAAGTACTTAAGAAATAGAGAGTGATTACATTGAAACTGGCTTTATACCGGATGCAAAGTGGAAAAATTTCGACGAAAAAGAAAAAAGATTTCCCTAAATTTAATTTTTTTAAAGCAAACAATTTTTAAATTCCTTAAAATTTGTGGCACTTAAAATTGCGAGAAGTAAACAACCAAAGAATGCGTAACTACAGTAGCTGAAGATTTATCGGAGGATACAGAACATCGCAGAAAATATACCATCTCAACTATCTGACTAAATTATGAGTGATTTTCTCTAGCCTGACTCAACGGATATTTCAGATACTACTTACGTATCTCTTTTTATTCTAGGAGCAGATAAAACTTATAAAATGTCTGAAGAACTTCTTGATATTAATAGTAGTGACAGTACGACTACTTCTTGCATTGCTTATCCATTATGGATGTTGGCTAACAGCAGGGCTAAATCTAACTTTAGTAACTGCTACTCTGAAAGTTCTGTAGTTGTTAAGTTGCAACAATTTCTTAGATTACTCAGCCGTGATATCCTTCACCTTCCTTTTTTTTCTTCTTCTTTACGTGCCATCTCCGCGACGGAGGTTGGCAATCATCATGGTTATTCTGATTTTAGATGCTGCCGCTCTGAATAGTTCGATTGATGTGCATCCGTACCATTCCTTTAAGTTACGCAACTATGACATTCTTCTCCTTCCTACACTTCTTTTTCTTCTTGCCCTGGATCATTATGCATAACATGCCTCAGGTATTGCAGCTTTCGTGTCTTCATAGTTTCCAATATTTTTATTCTTTTGTTAACTCTTCTCATGACTTTCTTGTTTGTTACATGCTCGGTCTAAGATATCTTTCTTTGGGGTTCCTCTGGGCACCTTCATCTATATCTTCTGGGCCTCTCTTACTGAGCACCTTACCCTGCAGAATGAGATGGGACTGGTTATACCGATGTTCATTACGCGTTACGTGACCCATATATTCCAGTTTGCGTCATTTTATAACTATGCTTATTCTTTGAAAGGCATCATTATTAAATCATTATTAATAACTCTGTCCACCCAAGAGATTTTTAGTATGCATTTGTAGCACCACATTTCAAATGCTTCAATGCAAAAAGGCAAAAGTACAGAGAAAGCATAACATCTTAGCAAGCGGTAGTTGTAGATCGTGACTACTGGAAATCTTTTTAATTTGGATGAATGCTGATTTTGCTTCTCAATCCGTTCATTTATCATTGTTGAATAAACATTCAAATTTGTCTCCAAGACAATTAATTGGTAACCCATTCTATTGGTTATTGGTTAATTAATAGTTGTACTACTACTAGGGAATAATTATATTTGAACGAAAGATCCTAAGAGGAATATTTGGTGGCATCTGTGAAAATGGTGTTTGGAGGAGGAGATACAACTACGAGGTATACTACAGATATAAACAAATATTTGGTGGTAAAGACGTAGTATCTCTTATAAGAATAGGACATCTAAGATGGGCAGGACATCTAGCAAGATCACAGCAGAACAACCCTCCTAGAAGAATCCTTATGTCACAACCCGTGGGAAGTAGAAAAAGGGTAGGCCAAAACTCAGATGGAAGGATGGTGTAGATGAGGATGGTAGAAAGATAGGCGCAGCAAACTGGCAATGGATAGGACCTGCCTGGCGTAATAGACTTGGGAAGGTCGAGGCTCTTTCATAGGGCTGTAGCACAATTGATGATGATGACTACTAGGGAAGGTATGTTAAAGCGAGTTGAAAAACTTTATTAAAACCAGCCTTTTGGATGAAAAGACTTTAATTTATTACAACTGTTATTGAGACAAAAAATCAAGTATCTATTTCTGTCCAATGCTGTACAAGACATTATTAACAGTCTTGATTCAGTAAATGTTCGGATGTAGCCGAACTTGTAAAACAAGCCATATCAGTTAAACTTTCTTATTATATTTGCCTTATGGCTGAAGAAAGTCTTGATTAATTTAACTTACTAGTTACTTACTAATAAACTAATTTGTTTGGGCGCAATATGCAGATGCCAGTACGAATTGTCCAAGGAGGAAGGATTTGGATTGAGGATGTATCAGAAATAATATTCTTAGTTGAAGGTAAACTTTCTGCGTATCACATTTGTTATTAAGTAAGATAATAATACCAACAATAAACCATTAGCTTTTGCTGGTGGGATTAATTACACTGGTAGAAGTTATTTGGTTTAGGGACTGCTGATTTATATCATAAATTACATATTATTGTCAAGTAAAACGCGATATAATACATAAATCATTACATAATAAAACAAAAAAGGACGCCACCAGAATAGATCAGATTTAGTTATTATACTTATTTATAGTGCAAGGGGGATAAAGAGATATAGAAAGATGAAGAAGAGATGTTCATAATACCTCAGTTAAAACGATACAGACAAAGCTTAATCACTGTAGTAGGGAAGAAGAAAATGGTACCTTGGTACCCTGGATTCATGTACTTTCCGAAGATCCATTTTCTTCCAAAAGCTATTTTGTACTACTGGCCCTCTATTGTAACCTACAAGTGCATGATTTTAGATAATAAAAATAAGTTCACATTACGTAATTAATCATTTCGATTAATTACGTATTTTAACATAAACTTGACAGTCATACTTGTGCAAATTTTTTTGTCACATAACACAAATAAATATTAAACATTTAAAAAAGTAGTGAAAATGAGGCACCAAAATGCCGCGTACAGCAGTCAGTCGGTTGACAGTTGAAACATGAAATGGATTGCAAGAGCATCGAAGGTGTAGAAAGTCGGCTAATGCTTGGTGTCACTAACAACTTGGTGACTACTGGTTAGAGACTTCTTAAAACAAAAACAATCCGTCCTATTGAATATCTCTCGTAAAATGTCCGTCCAATACAACAGCAAACAACCTAAAACTACTTGTACATTAGTTCAAATAATATTCAACCACACAGCTTCTACTCCTTACGTCGCCCAGTATCAGATCTATAAGACTACTGTACAGTCACTACGTACGTAACTTATCAGTCAATTTTAATATAAATATAAATAATTCACCCAAATCCAAGTCTCATCATCGATGGCCACGAGAGTCAAAAGTAGTGGAGAACAATAAGTTTCACCAACAAGGGGACATCAAACCCAGCCCTTAACTACTTAAACCAAACAAACTTCAATACAGGTACTTACCTCAGACATGAAATCGTTAATTTACTTTATGTTTATGATGTCTTCATAAACATAAAGTAAACGTCCTTTTCAATGTCTTCCCAGAAAAAGGAAATAACATCGCCAGTCTCTGTAATGAGAGTTCACATTATACGAACGGACAGGCCCTATTGGTCATCAGGACAGGACGTCGACCTACAACCATACCATGAATCAAAGATTTATTCAAACTCAATATTAATTATCTTCAGGATGAGTTTTGCGTTGCACTGCACAGCGCTACCTGTTCCTGGGTCTCTAGAAGTGTATAGAAACCTCTAGGGTAAATCAACTTGGTCATCGACTCTATTCTTATGAAGATTTATTTAAATGGATTGAGAAATCCAATTCTTCTCATACATCTAGCATATTGCCATATTTTCTTTATTATTACGATTAATATTTGTACAATAGATGATAAAAATATAGAGGTATCTAGTTAAATTATATTTAAACTGAACGTCCATGTTTGTTAAAACCACAAACATTTTTATTTATTTCTAAATTAATAAATGCATGAATCAGAATAAATGTATATTTTATAGAAAATAAAAATGAAAGTAATATAGCTGCCTACATTAGTTGAACTACAAATACTATTCTAAAATTATTAAGTATGTCTTTTATAAAGTTTACCTGAAAATCTAATTTCTGCCTGAGGTTGAAGCTGGATATATTGAGTAGCTCAGTATAACTTCACCTCTTATATCTATTGATATAAAAGAAGCATAGGGTAGTGTGCATTTAAATAAACTGTGTAAGGCAGTCAAAATAACTAATAATAAAGTAATAAAAACTGTTACAACGTTGTATGGTGACTCAAAAACTAAGATAAAGTAGCGGGTATTCATCGTTGGCAAGTTTACGCCTAATTCTTCTTCTTCAAGTGCCATCTCCGCGACGGAGGTCGGCAATCATCATAGCTATTCGAACTTTTGAGACGGCTGCTCTAAAAAGCTCATTTGATGTACATCCGTAACACTCTCCGCCATTCTACGCCTCCCTATGCTTCTCTTTCCTTGAATCTTTCCCTGCATAATCAGTTGTAGCAAGGTGTATTTCTCTCTACGTGTAATATGTCCGAATTATTCCAAGTTTCGTGTTTTAATTGTATTTCAAATTTCTACTACTTTATTCATCCTTCTTAGAACCTCTTTGTTTGTGACGTGTTCTGTCCACGATATTTACAGAATTCTTCTATACACTCACAGTTCGAATGATTCCAGTTTTTTCATTGATATCGCATTTAAAGTCCAAGATTCCATTCCATAAAATAAAGTTGAAAAACCTTAATTTTCGCATTTTGTTAAAAAAAAAAACAAAATTTTTTAAATTTATTGTTTGTATTTTGAGAACGATTTCCGAAGTGGAAATTGAAACTTCAATAAACGTATTTTTATCTTTAATTGTGGCTTATTCCCAGTTAAATAGTAATTAATTTAAAATGCCACAAGAAAATAGCTTCAGAACTAAATTTAGCACATGAGATATCAAGCGAATGGTACGGTAATCGCTGCACTCTCTTGCGTTTTTCTCTTTGGGGAGACAAATAAAAATCGACGTCCACCACTCTTTGGGTAATACGCCTGAACTATAAATTTGGTTCAAGAGTGTCACTGAAAGATGTCATGTCCAGGGCTTTTCCCACTCTTCGTTGTTTTTAATGCATGTAATATTTCTTCTTTTGTAATATATGGACCTATTTCTTCTGAAGTACGTTAAATGTGCTCCAGATCTCCTCTTTCATTCGTCGATATATTCT